TCAGAGAGGCTTGGAAAGGCCACGTTCCTACTGTTGTAATCTAAATTGATAACTATAGGGTTAAACTGTTTATGCAGGTGCTGGTTCCAGTTTCTTTAAAATAAGAAATTGCTGCTTTATTTTGAAATTATTATAAACTGAATAGTTTAAGTTTTGGACTGATACAAGTTTGGCTGGTCTGTTTTGTGTTTGTTTGTTTTTTTCTTTTATTTGATCAATGAAATTGTTTTATTTTAAAAAGAGAAAAGAAACAAGAAAAGCCACTTATAAAACGAATGGTTCCACAGGGTTGTGATGTCGCTGTATGGTGTGGCGTTAATGCAATATAAATAATGTTGCTCCAACCAAAAACAAACATGTTTTGATTAGGAAAAAAAACACCTGGAAGTCTAAAGTTGGCTGGAGGAGGTGAGGGTGGATGGATGGGTGGATGGGTGGATCAAATCCAGGTCTTTCACACAGGACGTTTGGGGTTTGAGTCCACCATGATGTGAAAAGTTAGTACTGATTTATTACTTTTAGACCAAGCGACACACTCGGAGACTGAAATAAGTATGAAAATGTGCAGTTCCTGTAGCGACCACCAGAGGCTCCTGCAGTGGATCAGTCTGTTAAAATGTCCAACTTTAATTTGTTTAATTAAACATGTTTTCAGCCAGATATAAAAAAATAATAATAAATTTCTGGATGGGTTCTTCCTTCAGAAAAACTGCACAGCTTAAAGTGGCCACTCTGACAAGTGCGTCAAACCATCTACTTCATGTAGAGGATGTCATCTCCTCGCGTTCACATTTAGGCTAATGCTACGCAGCTTGGTTAGCACATTTCATATCCATAAAGTTGATACAGCACACAGACATGCATGTCTGTTAATTGGTGCTAAGAAGCTCTAAAACTGGATGATTTTCCTTTTGGATTTTTGTTTAGTAGAATTAGATGGGTTCATGTTTACACAGGCAGCTGTAGCTGTTAGTTCCTAGGGTGCACTGTATCCTTGCTAACCAAACTAGCTAGCATTAGCTGATAGCTTGGTACACCAGTTTTCACCCAGTCTTTTCACTTCTGCCTCCAAAAATCAACATTGTTGGAGGCCAAACTGTGCTGGACTCCAGCAGGCACAGTAACTTCGTCCATCTTTTAGCTTTCTTTACCCCCACGAATCTGCAAAATTGTGACGTCACAACAGTGTGACTGGTCCTGGAGCAACATTAAAATGATGAGGGGACACCAGCATGGCGGCACATGTAGTTACTGAACACGCCCACTACACCTGTTATATATAAATGTAAATATGACTGTAAAAAAAACAAACGATAGCTTTGTGATATGTATGTTTTTGAAACTCAAACACCATCAGTGACATTTTAGTAGGTATTTTTAGTTAAAGGACCAAAATGGGATTCGTTTTCTGCAGATTTCTTTGCTCTTATGTGTCCTGCGTCATGTGACTCCTGGATCTCTGCTGCCGTCATTACTTTGACAATTAACCCCGGGAACACGCCAGGTAAAGATTAGACATGACAGACGAATCGCACCATGGGGAATTTTATTTTGAAAATTAAAGCCGTGTTCCTGTATAGACTGTATATGAATGTTGGATGCATCTATTGTGGACCCTCTGTGTAGGTTCTTTGCGAAACGACACGAGTAGTAAATCCTGGAGTTCTTCCATTCTCCTGCAAGAGGGTCCCAAAAACACTCGAGGGCGCTGCCACACATTTGTAAATGAAAATATTTCATCACCCCACCCACTAGTAAGAGTCAGGCAGTCCAGGTGCTGATGTTTTACCCGTGCCATTTTAGCCTAAATGCAGTACGAGCCTCCAGATGTGGGCAGCTGTGAGGCCATGGGAGCATAACGTCAGACATGATCATTTGGATGTATTTAGAGCTTATCGATCTTTTTTGTGTTGTTTTAAAAAGCTTTATGCCTGCTGGTGACTGATCCAGCCTGCTGAAATCTGCAGATCTGAAACCTTGTCTTTGTTCACGAGACCCAGCAGCGTTTTGCACAATACGGGAGGAGCCGTGTCGGCCAAACGAGACTTTTCTTTAACAATAATGTAAAACTAGTTCGAGTCACAATGGTTTTCTATTAAAAAGGACAATTTTGTAATAATATTGGCATCATGCTCCATTTCTTTCACCATCATTTCACCAAAGTACACGTCACTCACAGCTCGGTCACACTAGGTTCAAAATAGGACAAAAGTGTCGTTGTTTCAGGATTGCACTGATTTCATTTGCTGTCTGAGACTGATTGCAAGTACTTGCTGCGACTAGCTGATCGCCCAGAGGTGCAACATCCCAAACCTCTGGGTGACTTGATCACAAAGTGATTGCACAGGTTGATTGCACGTGGCTCTTCCCTCTCATGTTGCTGGATTGAGAGCTCTGACTTTAAAGCTGTTGTTTGGGTTTTTTGATAAAGTCTTTTAAGGCTGTTGTGTCTGATCTGGTACTTTTCATTTATGTTGATTTATATTTTCTATAAATTATATTATGTATGGAGCATTTCCTGCATGATTGTTCCAATATAATATTGTACAACTTTTTG